TTTTGAGGCTCTTTATGTTGTTTTATTTTACTTACCCTTCATCAGTCTTGCCAGGTGTTTATTTGAGTGTTTTCTAAGAGCTCTGACTTTGTTAGTCCTGTTACCTTTTTTTCTACTTCATGAGTTTCTGTTCTTTATTATCTTCTACTTTCTTTGGGTTTACTGTTATTTATTATCTTTCTAACTTAACAGGTTAGCCTATTAACTCATCAATTTTCAGCCTTCTTTTCCTAGGATAAATCTTTAAGGCTATAGAGTTGTCTCTAAATATAACTTTTACCGTATTCCACAAATTTTTATATGTAGTATTTTTATTATTCAGTTCTCAATATTTTTAGATAAAATTCTAGTATGTTTTCTTCTGACTTGTGAAATATTTAGAAATGTTATTATTTTCTATTTGTATTTTAAAAATTTATCTTTCATTTATTTTTTTAACTTAATTACATTATGGTCAGATTGGGAACAATATGATATATATTCTTTGAAGTTCAGTGTAATTTCATTATTTCCCAGTGTGTATATTGTTTTTCTATATGTCCCACATATGCTTGAGAAGAATATTTTCTAATAATTGGGTATAATGTTCTGTTGTGTTCATTAAATCATGCCTGTTCATCGTTTTGTTTTTATTTTTATTCTTCTGGTCCACATGACCTATGAAAAACTAGAGTGTGTTGAAGTTGCCTGTGACAGTGACCAGTTTGTCAGTTTTTTCCTGTAGTTCTAACAGCCCTTGGAGGCTTTTTTCCCCAGGAGATGGTGAGTTTTATTTTGTCTTGTCTGGATAGAGGTTTGTTTGGCTTAGGAATGATCTAGAGTAGAGAGAGACTAGGAAAAAGCACAGAATATTCAGGTCTATTTTGTAATCTCCCTCATTTTAATTTTCAAGTGGGAGAGCAGCGTACTACAGTTCTGAATTTACAGGCTGGATTCTGTATTTGGCTCAGGTGCAGGTTGGGGATTGGGGGTCTTGACCCTTTTTGCCATGTTGCCTTTCAGACTTTCTTCTGTTAATCTTTGTTCCCTTCATCTGATGACCCATGCTGGGTTCCCACTCTCACCTTTGGGACGCTCATTTTCATTCCCTTGGGATACTTATTTTTATCTTTCCTGGTTGATCCTTCCTGAGCTGGAGGGGTTTCCCCATCACTTGTAGGGCCTGCTGCTCTGAGTTTGAGCTCTAAATTCAGGCTGCAGTATTAGCACTTCACTCCACCCAAGCATTCTCTTTT